ATTAAAAATTATATTAATTTATTATGTATCTATTTACATGAATACGTAATAATAATTCTTTGTAATATTTCAATGTAATGAATAACTGAAATCATGGATAGTAGATTATATTATATATATTAGTATAGTATATTATACGTATTATGTGGCATCAGAATTTAAAATGAGACATTTATGCTAAATTATATGTATAGAAATAAATTTTTTGTCACTATATATAAGAAATAATGATAATATGAAGAATTAACAACTACTTATCTATCAATTTCTATACATTAAAAAAATCATCTATTTTTAATTTATATAAAGAAGAAATAAGTTTTTTTTTATTTATTTAATTATTTATAAAATAAAAAAGACAAAAAATAATTTTTTATATCATAAACATAAATTTTTGATTATATTGAATAATAAATAAAAATTAAAAAAAGAATTAATAATTAAAAAAACAATAAATAAGAATTCTTAATTTTTTTAAAAAATTTTAAGAATTCTTAATGTATACACGTATCAAAAATCTAATCTATTTTTGAACATAATAAAAGACATATAATAAATTATGTATAAAAATACGTAATTGATATTATTTCAAATATGAAAGTGATACATGTACTTACATGTAAGTAAATTGACTGATAATTACTTTTACTAAAATTTACGGATATTATTGGAGAATTCAGAAGTCAATCAATATAAATCATATTCAAAATAACTTATGTAAGAAGAATCTTTTAGAATCTTTTTATTATTTAATTGACTTGACAACTGAAAATTTAAATAATAAAGAGAATGTAATTTTTGAATTTAAATCATTTTTGAAGAATGTACACTAATTGACATTTTTGTGTATTAATTTTTGTTTTTTGTACTAATTGTACATTTCTAAATTCTCTAACTCCATGATCATTGTCAGATATATATATATATATATATAATTATATTATATATAATATTTCAACTGTTATTTAATTATTTCATTACACTATCTATTAAAAAACAAAATCGAAATATACACATATTTATTTATCTCAATATTAATTTCAAAAATTATAGTTTTCTACTTTCGAAAATTTAAATAAATTAATAACATTTTATATATCAATATTATAACATTGATTTCATTGAATTTTTTTTAATTTGCTAAAATAGATCAATCTTCGCAATAAAATTATTTGTTATTGTATCTTTAAAATAAAATTCAGTTAATTCTATTAGATGTTTTGAAAAAAAAAAATATAAAAATTTAAAATGTTGTTTTATGTTTTTTAAATAATACTCTTTTCTATTTTCTATATTTTTATATATTTATATTTATAACGAAGATTTGAAAAAAAAGATAATTAAATATATTTTGGAATAGATCTATTATTGTATTAATTTTTAATTAATTTTTTATTGATAATTATTAAACAAGATTTAAATATTAAAAATATAAATGTGAACTAAATATTAAAGATACAAATAAATATAAAATTATCCGAAAATTTGATAAAGCAGATTTTAATAAATCATTACCTACTTTTTACCTACTATATTATTATTTATAAAAAAATGTTTATTTTAATAAAATTATATACTTATTATGTACTCATCAAATATTAAAATTCTGTTTTTTTTTAATTTTTTAAAAAAAATTATTTGTTATCATCTTTTAGCAATATATATTTATATATTTTTTAAGTAGTTTAATACTAGTACTATACTAACTAATAGATACTATGTACAAAGAATTGTTAATACTTCAAAAAAAATTAATTTTTTTTAATGTTTAAATACAATTTTTTATTATTTCTGTATTTTTTTCTGCAAAATAATTAATATTTTTAAATGCAAGATTATATATATATATATATATATATATCTTCTCTATAACTTAAACATAAATCGATACTTAATAAACAAATTTAAAAAATATGTGATATTAAGTAAAGAATAAAAAGATAAATTATAATAAAACCTGCTTGAGTTATTGAATTTTTTATTTAAATCTATGTTAATATATTTATGAATATTTCAATATGTAATGTTTGGAAAATTAAATTATTTAATTGTAATTTGAAAATTGATTTTATCTCATTAATATTGTGATATGAACATTGTAAAAATAGTCAAACATCTTTTTCGAAAATTATAGAAATTTTTCTTTTTTAAATTTATATAAAAATTGATTTTCAAAAATTTTCAAAAATCATATACTAGTAATGATAAAATGATTCTTTTATTTATTATTGGTTTAATAACATTAATCTTTGTAGAAATCAAAAATAACAAGAATTACCAAAATATAAGTATATATATATAGTTATATATATAATAGTTATATGTATTACTATAATATAACTATATAATTCTTATTTTATTATATAATTATATAATTGCATATTGCATATGTATTACATATTGTAGTAAATTTTTTTCGTATTTATAAATAATGAAATTAGATTATTCTATTATTTTTATCAACAATCAATGATATGATGAATTATTATAAAATGTTCAATTTAAATTAAAATTATTTAAATTAAATATTATGTATTTAAATTAAAATCAAAAATATATTTTAATTTTGAATGATGTTATAAACTAATAGATATATATATGTGTGTATATATATATATATGTTTATATATATAATTTTATACATATATATTTACATATAATACATATACATATATTTTATACATATATTATATTAATTAGAAGAAAGTTTGTAAACAAAATAAATAAATTGATGATAATATATTATTTATTGATTGATTAAATAGAATTTTTATATAAATGAATTAATAGACATGATAAATTTTAATATAAATTCAAATAATGCAGAAATATTTTTATGCGAACATTATACATCTATATAATTTATGTTATAATTAAAATTAAAATATAATTAAATTGATAATTTGATAAAGTAGAAATTTGAATAATTAAGATCTTATTGTATTGTGATAAGATCATTTTTATTTTTATGTCTCTTTGAATATTATCATTCTATTTTAATATCATTCTCTTTTTCTTTTCTTTTGAATTTTATTTATAAAAAAATTATTTATAAAAATAGTAAAAAAAATAATCATATATCACAGAAAATATTTCATTTTTTTATATAATTACAATATAATAATCATTCGTTATGTATAGTAATAAAATCATTCATAGATTTAAATTATTATCATTTTTATTATATTGAAATTATATATTGAATATTAATTTCTCCATTTACTAACATTAATTATCATTATTTATTTTTCTAATTGAATATTTTTCTAATCGTTAAATTATGAAATTTATATATATATAAATTTCACAATATATATAAATATATATGTATTATTTTAAGAATATATCATTCTTCATTTTATTCATAAAAAAATACACGGATAGAAAGGATTAATTCATTATAAAAGTTTTTTACTTTTTACATATATATATATATATATATATATATTTAATCTCATTATGATTATTATGATTATATAATGATAATAATAAAATAACGAAACATTAGTAAAAAAGACTTAAAAAAAGAAGAATGATATGAAAGAATAAGGGAAAGCCAATATAGTTCTACAAAGAGTGAGGAGTAAAGAGAAACGCAGAGGAGAGGAAACGGGCTATTGCGCCATCAGGAAGTGGCTCACCATTTACATGAGTATAGTTAACTATACTTCAACATAGAAGTTTGTTCTCATTCTACGACAGGCAGACAAACTTAACGCATTGAAATAAAGATAGAATATAGATAGTTAAGAATAATGTGATGAGAAGGACAGGAAATCATAGGATTAATAATTTTATTTTCTGATATATATGAATATTATCCAAAAAATACATTTACAATCAAAACTAATATCACAATTCTAATATTCATAAAACGTATACGTGATTTTATTAGTATGTAAATGTATTATCCTTTTACTAATATTATGGAATTCGGTTTTTTTTCATTTCATAATTTTCATGTTGTTTATCCATTTATATGTACATTTATTTATTTACTTATTTGTTTTTAATTTCTTTTTTCATTGATTTCATTGATTTATTCATTCATTCTTTCATTTTTTCATTTCTTAATTTGTTCATTCATTCATTCATTTTTTATTTTTCACTCTCATTTTATTTATACATTTTTTTTTGTTATTCATAATTCAAAAGTAAAAATTGGAAAAATTTTATTATTATTTAAAACAATATGACATTTTTAATCAAAATTAAAAATATCAAAATCTATTTTGTGAACTATTTTGTAGATTAAATTTATAGTATAATAAAATATTTTAACCTAAATTACTAAATTTACTATATTTTAATATAAGTAACTAAATTTAGCAAATAATATTAAATAGCATGAAGCCTCAATTATATCCATATTGTAATATTTGTATATTTTTATAAAAAATATAAAATATTTAATTTTAATTTTGCTATAGAATCATTATTATGAAAAAGATATAAGATATTGTATATTATATATAAAGATACATATAATTATATATATATTAATAATCATTAAATATTTATGATTTAATTTGTATTTAATGATTTTTCAATAATAATGATTTTAAATTATTAAATATTCATTATATTTCATTCAGTAATTATGATTTAAATATATTATATATATACAATAATGTTTATAAATAAGATATATAAATAAAATTCTAATAATTAAATTCATTCATTGTGAGAGCAAAAAAAATATAATGTAATATAATACAATGTATTGATTTATATTTATATTTTATATTTTATTATTAAATATTGATTTATATTTATTATATATATTATATATTATTATTATATTGATTTATATTTTATTATTAAAGTATTACAGACATTCATTTTATTGTTATTTCATATTTATTATTTTTACGAGAAAATAATTATAAATAAATACTTGAAATTATTTTAAATAATTGATGAATTAATAACAAAATTATATATAATTATAATTTATATTTATATTCTTATTTCTGTTTTAATTAATTATAAATCAAACGTTATTAAATTTTTTCAAAAATCCATATTATACATATTATTTAAGATTGGGTGCATATATAACTTAATACGGTCCTGTTTAAAATCCATTCACAGAATGAACGTACCGCCTTGTATTCTGTTCATGTACTCACTCAGTAGTGTCATGGAGGTAACATGGCCGAAGAGACGCGCCTAGTTCGCGTTGAAGAAAGATTAAAGATAAAAATTGGTACGAAAATTTATTAAAAACATCGTTTATTAAGAACGTGAAACTTCCAAAAATTATATGATGTGTTAATATCACAAAATGTTGTTATTTAAAAAAAATGCAATGTGTTCTTATACGCGTGCTACTTGTTTGGGATTCATTTAGGATGTCACTAAATTTGATTTCTTTGATTTTATTATTTAAATGGAAAATGCTATTTTATAAGTCATTTTATGATTTCTTATATATATTTGACAAATTTATTATACAATTTTATGAGAGTGATATTTATGCTAAATTTTACGTGATCAACACGTAAGCGTACATTTTCGACTCCTACGCATCGTTGTCTCTATACAAATATATGCTTCTTGTTAGTTAATACTAAAAAGAATTGATTATTTTCATTAGTATAATAGAAAATTATTATTTAATTTTAATTAAATTTGTCATAATTAATAATTACATGTTTCTTTCTTTTATTACTTTAATCATAAATGTATCAAGAATTTGTTTTGCTTCTGACATAGTTTTATATACATTAGTATGACAGTATAAATTTTATGAATACAAAAATAATATTTTTTGTATTAGATTTTTTTTATATATCTTTTTAATCTATAATTAATAATCTTGTTAATAATTTATTTATATTTTTTTAAATTTTATATAATTTTTAAAATAAAATATAAAACTATAATTTATACTATAAAATATATAAATTAAATATTATTAAAAAAATTCAATACTTTTCCAATTAAATATTTTTTATAAATTTGATTATTATTTATTAAAATGTTATTAAAACATTTTAAATTTATTAATATTTAATTAGTTAAAATATTTTCTCATTAATTATTGTTAATTTTATGAGATTCTTATAAATCAATTTTATAAAAAAAGATTTTTGATATTTCAGTAGTTTATATTTTTTGTTTTTATGGGATAAAATGCAAAATTCCATTTAATTTGTAAGTGAAAAATTAGTTAATTAATATAATTTTTTTATAAATATTAAATATTTATTTATAAAAGAGTTTAATGAATTGCATTTAGGTGAGGTAAAAAATTTACAAAGCAGAAATCATGGATCTCCTGGTGCAAGAGATGTATATTGTGTATTATCTCTTGATCAAGAAGAAATATTTAGAACAACAACAATGGAAAGAACTCTCAAGTAATTTTTAATTTTTAATTTTATTTATATTATAAGCTATTATATATTCTTATACTATAATATTCTAAAATGTAAATACATAAAATGTTTCTTTTTTTTAATATAGTCCATTTTTTGGAGAAGAATTTCAATTCGAAGTGCCTAGAAAATTTCGTTATCTTGGGATTTATGTTTATGATCGTGATAGACATTTAAAACAAGATAAAATTTTGGGTAAAGTAGCAATAAAAAGAGAAGATTTGACAACATATCATAATAAGGAACATTGGTTTCCATTAAGACCAGTTGATGCTGATTCTGAGGTGCAAGGTAAAGCACATTTGGAAATCTCTCTTCAATCTCAAATTGGACATGCTCAATCTAAGCTTACAGTAAGGTAATTTAATTTAATAAATAATTATAAAATCAATATAAATGAATTATAAAACAATTATAAAATAGTATTATATTGAATATATAAATATTATTTACACACACACACACACATACATTATTTAATTTTTGAAATAAAATAAATCATTTTACAAAATATTAAAAATATATTTCTAATAGATAATTATGATTGATTTTTATAGGGTGATAGAATGTAGTGAATTAACTATTAAAAATGGTGGCTGTGATCCATTTGCAATTGTTACAGTCATCTATAGTAATGGCAAACAAGTATTAAAACGCACAAAAATTAAAAAAAAAACAGTATCTCCATATTTTAATGAAACATTTATTTTTGAGGTAAAATTAAATAAACTAATTTAAAAAATATTTATATATCATTATAGTCAAATTATGTTTTATATAAAATTTTGATTTATATAAAACAATATTTCTTATATAATTACTTGATTTATTTATATGAAATTTTATTTGTAGCCAGAAATAACAGAATCTAAAGAAAAAGATATTTCTCATTATTCTCTTGAACATGGAGAAGTGAATGAAGTAATTGTAGGTTTATGGCATGCATCTTCAGGAATGGGAGAACAGCCAGCTTTTCTTGGTGAAGTTAGAGTTACTTTAAGAGGCCTACAAAAACAATCAACTAATTCAACAACTGCATGGTAATTTCTATATTTTTCAAATATTTTAAATTATTTAAAAATATTATAATATAATAAAATTGAAAGGAATTATTATTAATATTTCTATTGGCATATAAAAATTTATAAAAAATAAATTTAATTGTCATCATGTTTTATTACTAATAGGTATTTTTTACAACCTAGAGCAGTAAAACATCGTCCAAATAAAATTTCAAATAGTTCCACGTCACCTGGCGTACTTCCAGGTTTAGGATCTCTGCGGTTAAAAATACATTATACAGCTGATCATGTTTTTCCATCAGCAATGTATGATAGACTTAGAAATTTGTTGTTACAAAGTGTCAATATTCAACCAATAACATCTTCTGCCGTTTATATTTTGGGAGAAATTGTATCAAGTAAAATGGAAGCAGCTCAACCATTAGTTAGGGTATTAGTACATTATGGTCAATTGGTTTCTGTAATGAGAGCTTTAGCTAGTCATGAAATTTCTAAATTAACGTAAGTAAATAATGTTATTTTTAAATTATGTATTTATTATGATATATGCAGAATAATTATTATGAAAATTTGTAATATAATGATTGTGTGTATATGCGTGCGTGCGCGCGCGCGCGCGCGCGTGTGTGTGTGTATTATTAAATATTATTTATACATGTAATTGTGATTTTTATTAAAGTGATCCAACAACAATATTTCGTGGCAATACATTAGTAAGTAAGATGATGGATGAAGGTATGAGATTAGCAGGTCTCCATTATTTACATAGTACTCTTCGACCAGCTATGAAACAAGTTTTTTTAGAGAAAAAATCATGTGAAATAGATCCAACAAGAGTAAAAGATGCAAATACAATTCAAACTAATTTAACAAATTTAAAGGTATGCAAAATTTAAAGAAATATTTGCATGCAATCTTATTATTATGTTGAATACTTTAACTATATACTTATGTGATTTAATAGGAATATGTTGAGAGAGTATTTATTGCTATTACAACATCTGGCGTACGATGTCCATCATTAATGTGTGAAATGTTTTGGTGCTTAAAAGAACTTGCAGCAACACATTTTCCAAAAAATAAAGAAGTAAGATATTCAGTCATCAGTGGATTTATTTTTTTACGATTTTTTGCTCCTGCAATATTGGGTCCAAGATTATTTGATATTACTACTGAACAAATTGTAAGGCTAATGTTGAAAAAAAAAATAATATTGATAATTTATAGATATATATATATGAAATTAAAATACATTATTATTTATTTTAGGATTCTCAGACTAATAGAACTTTAACATTAATTTCTAAAACAATTCAAAGTCTAGGAAATTTAGTAAGTTGTAGAGGAGGAGCAGGTAGTGTTTGTAAAGAAGAATATATGGAATGTGTGTACAGGTATACAGAAATAAATATTATTTTGAAACTTGGTTTATAAATAAATAGATTATGTATATTATATAAATATTACTTTTTCAGAGAATTTTATACAGAAAAGCACATACAAGCAGTTAAACAATTTTTAGAATTAATATCAACTAGTAGTAATAGTAATATTGCAAAACAACGAACAAGTACTCAACAAGAACAACCAATTGTATTAAAAGAAGGGTATGTCTAATAATTATATTAGCATATTATATTAATGTATCTTTATTATATTTCTATTTTTTTTTATTTCATAATAATTATTATAATAAATAAACAACAAGCTCGTCAATGTAGACGAACAAATTAAAACTATTATTATATATTATAAAAAATATATAAAATTATTATTATATAGTTATTTTTTGCACATTTAATAATTCTGAATTTAAACAAAAAACTGTAGACAAACGGCCAGATCCATGGCGATTTGTGAAGTAATAGCTATCAAAAAATATTCCCGCAATATCACGCAATTGAACTTGCTCGTTTACATTGGGTTTTAAATAATTGCAATGATTATAATAAATTAAAATTTAAAAATATTTTATTTAATTATAATTATATTATATTACATACTTCTTTATTATTAAATATTAAATTTAATAAATTAAATTAAAATAGTTTTATTCATAAATAAATATAATTATAAATAAATATAATAATAAAAAGCATTTATAATAGAATATATTTTCTCTTCATGCATACTGCTGATTGTAAGAAGAGGTTTGTAATAATACCTTATTTTTAATTTTAAAATTCTACAAATATATATTATCATTATTGTTATTTAATTACAGAGTAATGATTAAAAGGGCACAAGGTAGAAAACGCTTTGGTCGGAAAAATTTTAAACAAAGATATTTTAAACTTACTACACAGGATTTGTCTTATTCAAAAACAAAAGGTATATAAATAAATTTTATATTCTATATCTTTTTAAATAATAGATTGATTTCCAAGAATATTTTTAAAATTAATCTTATAATTTTAAAGAATTATATATTTGACATATTTCATAGGCAAGGAACCTTTATGTAAAATACCACTTGAAGAAATATTGGCAGTTGAAAAACTTCACGAAGATTCTTTTAAAATGAAAAATATATTTCAAATTATTCAATCACAGAGGGCATTGTATGTTCAAGCAGGAAATTGTGTAGAAGAAAAAGAATGGATTGATATTTTAACAAAAATTTGTCGTACAAATAGTAATCGATTAGAAAAATATCATCCAAGTGCATATATTAATGGCCATTGGCTTTGGTATGTTATTTAGCATTATTTTAATTGATATATTTTTCAAATTTATTAATAAATATTGCTTATAGTTGTAAAGCAATAGCAGAAATTGCTCCAGGATGTAGTGAAGTATCACCGGGAGTAGAAGCTGGATTGCGTATGGTTTTAGATCCAGATCGAGATTTGCAACGAATACATTCTCTAATATTTACAAATATGCCACGTCTCGAAACTTTAATGAGTGCATGTGAATGTCAAGCTGTTTATGGAGCTAATGATATGTGTATTATACCAGGTGGTGGATCTCCTATAGAAGATGTGCCATCTTGTTTTAAAACTTTAACTGCATTAAGAGAAGCTGCATATGCTTTACAGCACGAGCATAGAGCTTATTTTAGGAGATTAGCACGTGATACTAAATATGGAAGCAAGTAAGTTAATTAAAATAAACTAATATATTTTTTAACTACAATCTCATATATAATTGAATTATACTTAATATATAGTATAAATATAGTATAAATAGTATACATAATATAATATAATATACTTAATATATAATATAAAATATCTAAAACATTATTATTATTATAGGCAAGCTCCAATTGGAGATGACAATTATCTTCATTTAGCTGCAAGAGCTGGATTTGAAGGCCAATTAACAAAACGTGCTTATGAAATAGATAATTTAAATCACTACATAGAATCAGATCATTGTTATGACAGTGGACTTTCTAGACGAATAGAGGATCAACAATCATATGATGAAACATTTAGAAAACGTCTAGATTCTGGTTCAATACATCGTAGGTATGAAAACGAAAATAATATACTACGACGATATGAAAATAATACCGAAATTATTAAAAGTATTCAGAATGATCTCAAAACATTTGATCATAGTCTAAACAATACGTTTAGAACAGATAATTCTGAAAAAAATGTAAATTTAGAAAATAATAGAATTTTAGATAATTCAAATATTTTAGCAATAGATGAAATTAATATTTCTAGTACATTACACTCAAGAAAGTTTAATAGCTATGACCATACTAAAATATTAAATGAATGTACAGTAACAAAGTTTAAAGGTGATAAATCTGATATATCTTGTAATTCTATAAATGATCATACTAATTAATTCAAAACTTTAAAGATGAAAATATGTTCCTATAAAGATTTTTAAGATATTATTTCATATGTTCATATTATTCATAATCACTCAAGATTGTAGTGATTATTTCTTGCAGTATATATAGTTTAAGTGTATGTATCAAATATAATTCAAACTGAATTATATTTAATTTGAAACATAAAAAGCTATCTATATGAAAAGATATTATTTAAAAAAAAAATTAAGATTTTATTTAGTATAATTTTATTAATCTTTTAACAATAAGACATATGAATGAAAAAATTTTCAAATATTATTGAATATTATATTTTAAAGAATAAATATTTAAATGAAATGAAAATAATACTATTTAGAAGCCTATTTTTTCAAAGTTCAAAATTGGTATATAAAATATTTGATAGCAAAAATAATACAATGTATATATATATATATATATTGATCAATAACATAAAAAAATATAGTCATATGTTATACATTGTTGAAAAGTATAATAGTTTAAATATTTATTATTGGTTCATTATGTATTGTTATCATTAATCATTATGTTAGATTTTATATTGTCTCTTTTCTCTTTTTTGATAATTAGATAAAATGTTTTAAAAGAAATTATTTGATTCAAATATTAAAAAGTCAATAATAGATATTAAAAAGTCTTCAAAAATTATTTTAATATTGATGATTAATTGAATTAATTCATGCTAAAGATAAATTATTTTGAGCTAAAAATAAAATCTTCTACAAGATGATCTTCTCGCTAACTAAAGGCAATTAATCATTAATTTTTTCATGATAACAAAATTGTATTAATGTAATATCAGATCTTAATATTATTCAGATTTGAAAAATATATATATTTGTGAAATAAAAAGAATCAATTTCGTTTTTTATTCTCATTTTGATTCTGTTTTTATTTCACAGATATGCAAAATACGTTAACATATTGCGGTTACTAATAACATGATGGCTTCTAATGATAGATTTATATACAAACACAGTGCAATCATAATTCATAGTATTGAGTTAATTAATAATGGAATTATTCAATGAACATATATATATGAACGTACTCAATGAATTCTCATATATACAAAATCTTTAAAATCTTAATTTATATATAATTAAAATTGTTTAATTATTTATTTTGATTAAATTTTTTTTTGGTGAACATAAAATTTTTTATTTTTGTTATCTTATAATATTTGATAAGCATAATCCTCAATATAATATATAATAAATTTTAAATATATTATGTAATATATATATTGTGCAAAAATCATTAAAATTTATTATATTTATTATATATTTATTATTATACATTTAGCTTGTTTGAATTGGAACATTTAACATGTATTTAATTAGATTAGATTTTTTTTTATGAAATACTGTGTAATGTTTTCATTAAAAATCTAATCTATTTCTATTTCACTATTTGTTTACAGTTAATATGAATAATGATTTAATATATAGATTGAATAAAATATGATATATATTATATTCGAGTATGAAGTTAAAATAACACATTATTTATAAATAAGACAAATATTTCAAATTATGTACATAATTTTTGATACAATTAAAATTTTTATTAGATTATACTTATTAAATATAAAAAAAAAGCCAAAAATTTTATGCCCGCCAAAATGAAATTATTAATAATAATAATAATAATTAATAATAATAATCTTCATTTAAGTGCATTTTCTTTATTTTTTTTTACTTTAATTATTTAATTTCCATATAAATTTAATTCTCAGGTTCTTAAATCTTACGTTACTCTTCATATATTTATTGATGCATAACAAATTTGTATAATACAGATCAAATTTCATTGAAATCTTTTTTCGAATTTGTCACTTTGAAAAATAATTTCAAAATTTTGTTAGAAATTTTTGATAAAAAAATACTCTAATTCTACTCTAAAAAAGATAAAGAAATCTTTTTTTTTTTGATGTGATCTACTTAAACATAATTTGGTTATATTCTGAATAGAATATAAAAGATTAGGAAGATAGTTAAATCAATATTAATCAAATTCATCTTTGTTTAAAAGTATCTTCATTTAATATATTCAATCTTCCCATTCTCATTTTCTCTTATATTTTTATCAAAAACTGTGATTAAATTATTTAAATTCTTATTTGATTCCATTTTGATTTCCATTTCTTTTTTGTATAATCTTTTAAATTATTGTTATTTTTTTAAATAATTTAATTATTAAAGAAAATAATTAAATAATTAATTTAGCTTTAATATTTATCATCATTATATTCCTTTATTCATTTTTTTAAAATTAATTCAAGAAAATTTTATAATATTTATCATTTATTTATAAAAAATGTTAAAATTTTTTAATATATTTTTACTACATTGAATCAAATCTCTAATATTACATTAATGCATTTGTTTGTTTTTAATCTATTAATTTAAAAGTTACTTTTAAATTAAATGCTCAACTATCTGATTATATATTTATATATAAAAAAATTTTTATTTTATAAATATAATTAAGCATGTTAAACAAATAAAATTTAAAAAAACATTACATTTGTAATTATTACAAATCGCATTGGTAGCTAATAACAACAATAAGTGACAATAATGCACTTAAATAAATGTCTATAATTCATTTTTATTTTGAGATCACCAACATTAAGTTGTTTTGATTTTTTCTTAATATATAAAAAATATAATAATAGACATTTATATATTTATATTATTTATCTAAATTTTTTTAATTATTGTTGTTGATATAAATAATGTAAAAAATAAATAGTATGTAATGTAAGTAAAGTGGAAAGTTTTAACAATCGAATTTGTTCAAAATTAATGTCAAATTATTGAATTGAAACTAATGTTTTGAAACAAAGAATAAAAATCAAAGCTGAGAAAATAAAAGCTGAATACACATAAAAAACAATAAAAATGTATAATAAATAATGTAAGCATTCTTTGAAGTATTTTTTACATTAACATATTCTAATAATGATTTTATTTATGAATATTTATAAAGAATATTATAAATAATGTTAGTTAGAAATATGTATATAAAAATAAAATATATTCTAAATAATTATTAATTAAAAATATATAAATATAATATAAAATAAATAATAAAATAAATTAATATGAAAATAATACATGAAATAAAACATAAATAAATAAATAAAAATAATTTATATAAAATTATAATTATATATCAAATCAATTAAATATTAAAATTAAAGTAACTTTTAAATTAATAATTTAAAAACAATTTAATAAATATTTAAAAAATTTTTTTTAAAAAATATTTAGAAAAATTATAATTATTAGTAAACATATATTATTAATAATACAGAACTTAAAGGATTTTTTAATTTTACTTTTGAACATTATTTAAATATCATTATTTGTCTATTAAAGAGAATACATAAACTTCACAAATGTTTTAAATTTTCATTTCATTCAAAATTATTAAATTTTATAATAAATATTGTCACCAAAGGTAAAAATTTATAATATTATGTTGTAAGTGATATAAAAGATTTTTGTATCTATATATAAAATTATTATAAATAATCTAAAATTCAAATCATTATCAAGTAAAAATTGTCTGTGACAATTTTTTAATTTCTTTATAGTTTTTTTTCATATCTATAAAAAATATAGTAATTTTTAAAGAGCATAATGTTATTCATTTTAAATTAAGTAAAGACATTGTAAATATAACTTGTATAACAACTTGTATTCATTTTTTATAATAAAAATATTAGTATTTTATATACAATACAAATCTATATATTAGACTTAATTTATTTTTATTTAGATTTTTATAAGTCTCATTTTAAATCAAAATATTTTGTCAAATGTTAATTTTTTTCGTAAAAAAAAAATATAATAAAATATAATATATATTTTTAATATATTTAATATACTTTTATATATTTATATAAGTATATTTTATATACTTTTAATATATTTTCTTTTTTAATTTCTTTAAATTTTCATTCATTTAGCTAATATGAATATAAAGCTCTCTTCTATCTTACTTATTAAATTTTCCATTTTAACAGTATTAAATTTTTGAAATATTAATAAAACTTATAATATTTCTGATTCATTTCAATTGTTTATAAAATTTGTGATCAACAATTGTTTTCCACAAAATTATTCATAATAATTTTTTTTATGTAATAAAAATTTTTTCTTTTCATATAGGCACAAATTATATCTATTTATATATCTACATTATATTATACATATTATATCTACATTACATACATATTTTATCTACATTATACATTATTTACATTATATCTACATTAAAAGTATTAAAAATTTTATTAAAATCAAAAAACATCATTTAATGTTTTTTATTGAAGTATAATTAAATTATTATATTGAATTTTATTGTATTATGAATTTATGAAATTAAATAATAATAAAACAATCATAATATATAGCATATAACTTTAGAAAAAAACATTATAAGTTGAATTTTTTATTAATCAATCAATTAATATTATTTGAGTAACATAAATGGTATGTATATTATAGAAAAAAAATATTTATTAAAGAATAGAGATATTAAATAAAATAGAATAAAATTAAAACATTTTTATAATTACGTTTCTTAAAAATATTTGTAGATCAATGAATCATATCATTCATCATAGAATTTATTTTTTTTTATCAATTATAATATAATAACAAAAACATACATATTACTTTATTTAAAAAAAACTATAAATAAAAATAATAAAAATAATTTCAAAAATTGAAATTTTAAACATAAAAAAGAAATTGAAAATAGAATTTTTATTAATATATTTGAATCTTATAATCAAATTGTTCATATATATATATACATTAAATATTATATATATATATAAATAACTATAACATATAAATAAAACTATTTATTTTTAATTATAAATTACTCACTGTATGTTTAATAATACATTTAAAGTGTTTAATAAAACCAAAAGCATTATAATATAAATATTTAATAAATATAATAATTTCAAATACAAAATGTTCAAACAAAATAGGTAAAAATTTAAGAGATGATTCTATATGATAGAAATTAAAATAAACACAAAAGTTCATATGCAAAAATGTCCATCCAAGTTTATTTTTCAAATCACGTAGCATTTAATTTTGGATTAAATGAAATGAAATATGATATAAATGGAATGGATTTTATTTTTGAAAGATAAAATCACTACTACACAAAATTAAATTAATTAAATAATTTAAAAAATAAACTTTAATATTTTTGCATATTAATTTTTATATTTGTTTTTTTCTTTATTGTATTTTCAATTTTCTATCTATTTTATGTGAATATGTTAAATCTGCATAAATAGTTACAGATAATTCAATAATAAATAATATAAAAATAATAAAGTTTGTACTAACATATAATTTTATTTTATTAATTACAATAATATTTAAATCTGAATTATATAATAACATGAATTATATAATAACATGAATGAAATATTTTTATAATAATTTTTATAATAATAATTAGAATTAATAATTAACATCAGGCATGAAATAAATTTCTTTTTTTCTTAAATGAATAAAATTAATAATAAAATAAATATACAAAAATTATTATTATACGAATTACAACACTTAAACTAAATATACTGTACAATTTTTTTGTATATATTGTTGACTCTCCTTTAATGAGGAGTTTTCGTTTATTTATGCATACATTTTTATTAAATTAATAGCTTTTTTAATTGCATAAGTTTATTAATAATAAAAAATATACAATGCGCAATGTTTTAAGAAATAATTCAAATACTTTTAGTTATCATGCTAAAATATGATATTTCACTGCAATAAAATTTTTTCTATTTATTTATTTATATTTTATTCTAAAATATAAGATCTAGAAGATCTAGAGATATGTATATATATAATATAATAATGAATTGTATTATCAATAGATTAAATTAGCAATCTCATTATTAGATAAATACATTATAATCAATATTCATTAAAATATATTGCATATTTAATGTACAATATATTTTTAATCAAATTATTGTTTCATTTATATTTTTATAAGATTATAGTACTTCTATTTAATGTTATATTTCTAACAATTAGTAATATTTGTATAATTCTAATTTTTAGATATTTGTAAAAAGCAAAATACATATATATTGTATAGTACTATATATTGTATAGTAATTTGAATATTAGTAATTTGAATAGGAAAATACAATATTAATTATAATAATTTTTATACGCTGAAATTAAATAATACAATATAAATATTTAATTTGTAAATAGTAGCATGATAAATATTGTTTTAACAATGGTTTCCAAATTTGTATGTTTTAATGTAATTTACAGAAAAAAAAAATATGTGTATAAAAATATAAATTATATATAATATATATATAATTATATTAACTTTTTATGTTAAACTTCATAAAATTTTCATCTAATTTATTTTTATTTCTATTCCATTCTTTTAATTGTATACTGATTTATAAACCAGATATATATCTATTGAATTGCATTTATTGAAAATCTTACATTGAAAATATTTAAATGAATACATATTATTTGTATCTTTATTTATATTTTTTCGAAGGATATATATTCAGGTCTGATTCCAAATAAATATATATTATTTATTTCAAACAAATATACAACATTTTCTTAAATATATTTATTTAAATATTTTTAAATATATATGATTTTATATATATAAGTATAATATGTTTTTAATATAATATATTTGTAAATAGATATCATTATATTTTAACATTTATACAACTTATAATTGTAATTTTGTTTTTGTTTTGATTGTTTTTGAATACTTATTTTAAGTTAGCTTGATTATTTTTTCGAAATAATCTTATGAATATAGATAAGACTGCTCTTTAATAAAATTTTATTTATGTTTTATTTAATTTGTTGAATATTGGTCATATAAAAATTAATGACTAATATTATTCATTATTATAAAAAATACATACATATAATTATTATATGTAATAATTTTATATAATTTAATTTTTTGAGGCTGCAAAACTTATAGTCAATTTTTTTATTAAAAATTTTATCTCTTATATTTATAAGTTATTTTCAAAATTTATTATATATCAGAAATTAATATCTAATAATTTTCTTTTCAAAAACATATGCAATAGTAATTGCTTACTGTCATATAAAATATTTTTATAAAATTAATAAAATATTTTATAAAATAAATTAAAAATTAACCAAATAGAAAAGAAGAAAGGAGCGACCAAAAAAGTGAGAAAGAGAGAAAATATTATATATTTTTTGCAATAGTTTAATAAATAAAATAATCTATTTAAATCAAATAAATTAATAATTAATTAATGTGTATTTTAAATATATTAATAGTATTGTTTTATATATATGAACCACATTTAGAATTTTTTAAAATTAGATATTAAATATAAATAATTTATAATGCAAACGCACGCAGCATGCATACATACATACATACACACACACACACATACACACACACACACACACACACACACACACACACAATATATACATCACAATTTATATATTTTATTTTATAGTATAAAATATTCTCTAATTCAATATTATTGTAAATAGAATTATCATTGAATTTCTCATTACTTTTAAATATAATGTTACTATTAAATTACAATTAAATTATGAAATAATTATAAATTATTATACATATTCATATTTATATATGTAAATATATATATATATATATATATATATATCAATGCAATATCTTTAAATATAAATATAATAATAAATTTTTAAATATATATACGAATTATATTTATATTATAATAGATTTATAGATTTTTAAAAATTTTAAAAAATTTCCTAATAAAAATCACAATTTTTTTACGAAAATACAATTTTTAAAATAAAATTTTTTATATGTAAAAAATTAAAATATAAATATTTTAAACATAATGTACATATTACAAATATACATACTTTTTATATAAGAATATAAATATTAATATAACGAAATCAAAAATAAAACAAATTTATTATAAAAATTAATATTATACAAAAATATTTGTTTTGTATTCTTTATTGATGTAGTATAGATATATTAATTTTTTATATAAATAATATTATTTGTGTTATATTCCTTTCATTAATAAATTATTTTTAATTATTAGAATAATAAATTAAAATTTTTGTTTAATATTTTAAATAATTTTTGTTTCATAATTTATTATCACGTTGAATATTTAATACAATAATATTATATTCATTTTAATATTCTTACTACTTAAACAGATTTATGATTTTGTAACTTATGCTTAACAACATGAATTTCTGAATATAAATAAAATAATCAAATTTGAACAAATATAATAGAATTCCAAAAATATTATAAATTTTCTATAAAAAATTATTTATTAATTGTATAATAGAATACGTTTAACCTTCTATTATACAATTCTAGATCAAAATAAAAAAGTGAATTCAATTTTATAAAAAGTTAAAAATTTATATTGTATAATTTACTTCATATAATTCGTTTTCGTATAAAAATAAATAAATAGCAATATTATTTCTAAAAATGTAACACATTTTATGAAAGAATGATTATTACTAATTCGCATTAATAATTTGCTAAGCAATAATTAAATTTACGATCTATAATATGTATCATGTAACACATTTCATTTACATACAGTGTTTCATCTCGTTAAATATATATTAGATTAATATACATATGAAAATCTATCTAATATAAATATCTAATACAGCTATATTGATATAAAACATTTTTCACTTTTGATTAAATAAAATTTGATTTAATAATTATAGTATATCTAATTTTTTAATAAATATTATATATTTAATAAAATATGTGTGTTTATATAATATATATATATATATTATATAGAAAAATTAAAAGTTTGTAAATTGTAGTTTTTTTATTAAGCATATAAAAATTACTTATTAATATTTTCATAAATTAAATCATAATCAACATTATAAACATATTATGAATATATGAAATAATTAGTTCATATTAGTAGTTTTTCTTGTATAAATATTTTATTACACAATTTTTAAAATTTCAAACATAAGAAAGGAAAATAGAACTTAAAACTTAGATCAAAAAAATGTTCAAGTGGAATTTTCTTCTTTTCACTCATAGTTCTTTTACTAGGGATTTTCGTATTATGTCAACACTTGTTGAAGTCATTACAAATCAAATTATTATAGAGGCGGTTCTGTGTTCGACTTTTAAAAAAGTTAACTTTTCCTGTTTATTCAATTATAAAAAGTATAAGCTTATTTTCTGGTGCAGAAGATGTCTGGTGATGTTCAAACAAGAAAACGGAAAGAGAAAAAACGTAAAAAGGGTAAAAAAATAGGCTACTGAAAGTGTGAGAAAATTATAATTTAACTTTCGTATTTATTAATCCAAAAAACGGACAATACTTTTATTAATTCTTTTAAATTAGAAAAAAAAAGAATTATATACTAAAAATTATATATATTAAATTTCTTTCTCTTTTTAATTTTCAAAATATATAAATCATGTTAGATACATATACTGTATATATATATATATATATATATATATATATATAGAGAGAGAGAGAGAGAGAGAGAGAGAGAGAGAGAGAGAGAGAGATTATTTAGAGTATCTTTAGAGATTATTTTTATTTTGATAAGAATTTATTTTTATTTATGGACAAATATTAAATAATTTATATAATGTATTTGTATAATTTCTGTTGTACAGCTTAATTTTGCAAATTTAAATAATTAAATATTATATTATATAATATATATATATATATACATATATAATTTTCATGACATATCATATTTCATAATATATTTTAAATATTAAACAATTGCTTTAATAATTATTTCACAATTATTAACTATTGCACAATTGTTGAAACATTTTGCGAATTATTTTAATATTTATATTTAAATAAAAAATAATAAAAAATAATCCGAAGTAATTAAGTATCAATAGTACTACATAATTCATTTATTATTATACAAAATAATGAATTTTTATTAAGAAGATTCATGAGTTTTACAGCTTTTTATGAAATTATAATAATATAATTTTTTATATAATTTTTTGTTTATATTTATTTGAATATATAAAATTATTAATTTTTATTTAAAATTGTTTTTCAATGCAAAATAATATATTTTCATATTTTTAAAGTTATATTTTAAATTAATTATTATATTATGAAAGTATTATTAGTATAATGCAATGCTGAATGCAAAATCTTAAATATTTTGAGGCATATTTGGCAATGTTGCTGAAATTAGAAAATACAGGGTCTTAGAAGTTTGATCAGCCTAGCTTTTGACTTTCAAAAATAGATCTATATTATTCAGTTCGAAAACATTTTCCGCTAATTTATTTATATATTTTACGTATTTTTAAAATATTGCAATTTATGATAAAAATATTTATATTTTTGAATTTGATTAATAAATGTATGAAATATATAATTATCACTTTTATTACATAATAACACATAGTAATATATAGAAAATAAAAAATTATTATAATAAATACGATAATATATGTGTATGTATTAATAACATTATATCAATACATAGTATATATTTTTTATAAATGTATATTATCGAATATTATATATAAAAAAATATAAAAAGAATTGTATCATAAATTAAAAAAATAGTAGTACTTAATATTTATATCATTTTTAAGTTGTTATTTTCATTATATTACAGACTTTATTATAAAAGAAGAACTTTTTTTTTCTAGAAGAATAATTATTTATAAAAGTAATGTCATGAATAATAATTATTATTAACATCGCATCTCTATCGCTTTTGTATGAAATATTTAACAAATGTGTACATATATGTAAATCTATATACAAAATATATATATGCTTATTAATTATTATATTATACTATTATATATAAATATATATTAAAAATGTATTGAACAAATGTATAATAAAACAAAAAACTTTTTGATATTTTTACTAATTATTTGATTTTTAAATTATTTTTACTAATTTAATAAAATAAAAATAAAGAAAAAAGAAAATTTCCTTTATTTTCTTTATTTTTATAGCATAAAGTTAAAAAATTAGATTATTTTTTAATTTTTAATTAATATTTTGATATTAATTATAATTTATGTACATAATATGCAATAATTTGTACCTTTTAATAATTTTTATATTGTATTATAATACATAATATATAAATACTTATATTAAGTATTTATTATTTATTAAATTATATAATATATCATCATATTTAGATGAAGAAGATAACATTATACCATCACCTTCTCTGGGAAATATTAATGAAAATTTGATAGATAATGTAACTATACATATTTATAAAGAAAGTACCACAGGAGGACATTGGTGTGCTCGAATTATATTCTTTATTATTTTAATAATGCTTGTGGGTCTAATTGGTATAGTTATCTTTGAGCATAGGGGTACTACAGATAGTAAGTGAATTATATATATATATATATATATATATATATTTTTAATATAAATATATTATTTTCTTTTTATATAATATTATTATATATTTCATGTTATAAGTCAGTACTCCATTAGAATCTTCTCGTTGGGCTTTTATATTTGAAGGATGGGTTGATGATTCTGCATTATTATCTAATGAAGAATCACATGATAATGAACAAGAAACTAGAGAAATAAAAAAGGAAACAAAAGATGATGAAGATAAAAAAACTATAGAAATTAAAATTTCTAATGAAGAAGAAATTCAAGAAGATGAAATATCAAATGAACAGACAGAGGAAGAAAAAGAAACAATAGATGAAAATGAATCAAATGAAGAACAAAATATTTTTCAAAGTAAAGAAGGTATCAAAATATAATTAATTCAAACTTAAAATATTTTTACAATTTTTGAATATAATATAAATTTTAATTTATTATAGAAGAATTAAACCATGAATTTGAAGACAGAGAACAACAAGAAGATATATTGGAAGAAGATATTACATCAGAAGAATTTGATGATATTAATGTGCTAGAAGAAATATATAGTATTAGTACAGAAAAATTTTCAGATGAAAAAAATATTTTATATGAAACAGATAGTCAATTTGATAAAATAATAAAAATAACAAGAAATGAAGATGAAAAATTTGAAAATTTTTTGGATATTCCTGGTATTAATGAAATTAATGATGACAATTTAGAACCTTTAGAAGAGGTAAAATTAAGATAAAATTAATAAGATATTACTTCTTTGTATGCAAAGTATTTCATTTAAAATTATAATATATATCTTAATTAATAATTTTTGTTATTAATTATTTTATTATATCGATTAATATTTTTTTATAAAATATATCAAACTATATACAATTATATACAATAAACATATATTAAAAAATATGATTAAATTTGAAAAAATAATTCATAAAATCTTCAGAAATTTTTTTATTCGTAAAAAAACTAAAAGCATCAAAATATATATTTTTTGGAACCAACTTTCATCCAAATATTTCTTGCTTTAAATAATAATAATAACAAAAATTAAGGTAATATTCAGATGGGACATTTTGCATGCATATATGTATAATATCTTTTATTATTTATTAATTTATATCATATTCTTAATAATTTATATTAAATCTTTTCTAAAAATATTTATTTTTACATATTTTAAATATTTTTCATTATATCAAATAAATTTATTTAACAAACAATTAAATATAATAATATTGATATTATGTATGCTATAAGATTTATTCTGTATATTATAATATTTTAATTATAAGATTTATTATTTATATTATAAAATTTTATCCATTTAATTGAACTATTTTGTTTCCTTTTAAATAGAAATCATAATTTTTTTTTAAATTTTATTTATTTTTTTAGTTTAAAATAAAAAAAATACTTATTATATTATACTTATTATAAAATAGAAAATTAAATTATTACATTTTTAATTAATTTTTAATGTTATTAATATTTGTTTACATGAAGATTACATGGAAAATATTTAAAAATATTTATATATTTTTTATTATATCATGTATTTAGATTTCTTATTCTATAATTTTTGAAATTTTTTAAATGTGATATAACATTATATTATAACATTATTTTTTATATTAGGTAGAAAACATAGAACCTGAAGAATATGTTAATGATATAGATGTAAAGCCAGAAATAGAAGAAATAGAAGAAGAATCTGCTAATGGTAAGTAAAATATTATTATGTAATAAAATTGAATTACTTATAATTTTCTAATATTGTAAAATTCCTCCATGCTCTTATATATTTTAATATATAAATGTAACATATGAAAAATCATTGTAAGTTCTAAATTTTCTTTATTTTTCATTTTAATTTTCAAATTTCAATGAAAAATAACATCTGATGATTACAGTGGCTATGAAGTTTGGAGTTGGTGTGGCACTTATTGTTGCTGCACATTTTGTCCTTGTGAAACGGTGGAATAATGGTAAATGTTGTAATATTTTTGTTTTACAAATTATATTATATTTGCAGATATATAAAATTTTAATTTAAATTTAATTTTTTTAATTACTATTTTTATAAAGATTTTACCATTTTTATTAAATTATCTTTAATATATAATAATATAATATCATACTTTAAATTTTAATATAACTCAATAAATTGAAATTCATTTTAAAAATACGTTAATTTTATGATTTAATTTTAGAAATATTACATTATTTGTTAAAAATCATACAAAAATATATAAATAAAGAAAAAATTATTATTTTAAATATTTCTAAATAATTATATACTTTATATTTAATCTAATCATATAATCCATTATTTTGTACCTGTAAATATAGATATTAATCATGTTTTTTTTTGGTGTTTAGAAGTTATCTTTGTTCAAAATCAATCAAAATTAATTTCATCTGAGAAAAAAGATGATGTAGAAGAAAAATTAATTCTGAAAAATAAATTGATTATTCAAGTAGAAGAATATAAAACAGAAGAACAAGATAAAAATAAAAAAATAGAAACAAAAGAATTTAAAGAAGAAAAAAGAAAAATAGAAATAATAAAAGAACAGACTAGTTCACAACAAAATAATAAAATTGAAGATGAGGAGGAAAAAGAAATAGAAGATGAAAATGAGAGAGAGGAAGAAGAGGAAGAATTAATAGAAGAGGAAGAGGAAGAGGAAGAGAAAGAGAAAGAGGAAGAGGAAGAGGAAGAGGAAGAGGAAGAGGAAGAGGAAGAGGAAGAGGAAGAGGAAGTAGAAGATGAAGAAGAGGAAGAAGATAGATATAAAACCAATGAAAAATATGACAAAATAGATGATAAAGAAAAAGAACAAAGAAGAATATTAGAAATAGAAAATCAAAATGAAAAATGGAAGAGAAAACATAAAGAAAATAAAAACATTGATAAAATGAAACAAAAAAATCAAATAGGAATTGATCAAAAAACAATATCAAAAGAAGAAGAAACAGAAGAAGAAATTGAAGATTTTGATGATTCTGAATTGATTGCAAAATTGGAGGCTCGGTATGGAAAACTACAAAATGATAATTAAAAAGATAGTGAACATGAAAAAGAAATAATGATCAAGAAAAAATCAGTCCAATAATATTAAAAAATAAAAAATAATTTATCATATTGTATCATATCATATATAATATAATTTAATGTGAGAAACATTTTTAATTATATTAAAATTGCAGAATTATTTCTTTATAATCAACTTATATTTAATATGATAATGAATTTTGAATGTTTTTTATTATATAAAAAATAATAATATATAATATTTTCTTTTAATATAAAACAAATTAAATATAATTAATTAAAATAATAAATATATATTTATAGAAACTGAATAGTATATATAAATATGTAAGAAAGTATAGATGAAATTATACGAGCATGGAGGATTTTGCAATAATTTTTTTACAGTCTTAGATAAAGAAAATATATATTAAATAATTAATTAAGTTTTGTATTATGCATATAAATATTTAAAAATTTTTTACGAATAAATAATATTCGTAAAGTATTCGATGCCGATATTAATTAAATTTTTTAGGTTTATGAACCAGGTGCAAGTAATGGATACATAGCTTTTTTAATTATGGTAACTTATATTATATACGAGGTAAAATTATTTTCTAAAATTTTATCTTTATAATGTTATTTTGAAAATTATTAATAAAAAAAGAATTTAAAGAATTTTGTATAGCTATTAAAAACAATGTACATAATAAAAAAAAATAAAAGAAAATAAAATTTTTTTTTCTTAATTCAATTTTAATTAGTTATTTAATAAAAAATAATTATTTATTTTTCGATTATATTCGAAAATAAAAAAAATATTTGATTGATAAATGAATATTAATTTTCTTCAGATGATTAGAAAGAAGTAATTATATATTAATACTATATTTACATTAGAATTTATTTATATATATTATTTTATATTATATATTTTATTATATATTTTAGTTAGTATATATTATATTATATTATATATTTTATATTATATATTATATATTTTAATTAGTTTATTAGAATTAATTATTACTCATAAAAAAATAAGAAAAAACCCGGCAATGTTTTAATTCTTATCTTAACTTTCGCAATTAAATTTATAGCTTCAGTTTCAATATTAACTTATTAGAAAGAAACTTATTATATTATACGTATTATTGTGCATTATAATTATTTTATTATATCATTGCTATGAAAATATATATTACATAAAACAAATATTTCATAAAATAAAGGGATGTAAATTAGTAACTTCTAGGAATTATAACGTTCATGCGAAGATGAGATCACAAACCATAATGAAAGTAATTTTGGCAATAATATTCCGATTCTGAATTCTTTGACTATAATTTAGTCTAGATTTAGACTAAATTATACAACTTCCTTGCCATTGGTTTACAACTCCTACCACTAAATAACGATTCCCCCACTATTAATCGTGCTTTGCCTTATGTTGAATATACATATACAATTATATAAATTTCTAATTTATGTTATATTTACATTTCAAGAAGTATTATTTAAAATCTAGACAATAAAAATATTTGATCATATTTGAAATGATCTTAATTTTACAATAAATCAATTCTTGTGACATGTTGAATATTTTGTAGATATTTTAAGTTCATTCATATGAACTAATAATAATTAAACTACTATAATACAAACTATACTATAATATAAAAAATTATATATATAAATAGAATTATTTTTTTATTATAATTAAGAATCAGTATATTTCTCCATGTATTTGTCACATATCATTGTATATATAAACAATTATACATATAAAGTGAATTAATTTAAGGAAAATTGAAAAAAAGAGTATCTAAATATTTAAAAAAACATAAAAGTATTTTGTATCATTGAATTAGTATTGCAGTAACTAATTTTTTATAACAATAACATTATTTTTATAACGCTATTTGTTTTTTAATTCTATTGACATGTATTTCTTATAATGTAGAAAATATAATGTAAAATAATTTAATATTTATGCTTATGCCTATATTTGCGTGGTGATGGAGAAGGAGGACTATTAGCTCTATGTTTTGAAGTACGTGGTGGAGGTGGTGGTGACAATGATGGTGATCTACCCCTTCTTTTTCTGTCATTTCGTTCATTAGTAGGCGATCTACGAGATACTCTGGATGAAAAGGAAGGCGAAGGTGTTCGTCGAATACGTGGTGGTGATGGTGTCACTGGTACCCGTTTTTTATATGGTGATCGTGATCTACGTTTACCTCGCGGTGATCTACTACGTGATCTGAAATTTATTTTGTAAATATATTATAATAAATAATATTTTTAATAAATATTTTTTGTAATATCTAAATTTATAAACTAACATTTTATAATAATCTATTAATTTTTTTAATTATTTTACAATCTATTGATTTATAAACTGATTGCTATATTTGAGTTAATTCTGATAATTTCATAAAAATAATATTTTAAATAAATACATGTTAATGTTAGTAATTAATATTAATAATATTGAGTATTTTTTTCATCATTTTAATTATTTTATATTTTTTTAAATAACAATATATGTTTAATTTTATATTTTTATAATATATAATATAATAAATTAAAATAGTATAATGAAACAAATTTAACGACATAATATAAATATGATATATTATATTATTATATGTAATTTTGAAGTTATATAATTTGTATCTGAAGTATTATTTAAAAATTATTCAATAATATAATATAATATAATAATATAATATAATAATGTAAATATAAAATATTCAAATACAAACATAGAATTTCATTAAAATTATATATATAAATCGAAAAAAATACTTTATTGCAAAAGATGAAATAATTTTAAGTTAATAATTTTTATGAATGTTTTAAAGATGTTTCTTAAATATTTTTTTTAAGACATTTTTATGAAATAATCAAACAATATTATAATAAATATTTTATAAATAATTATTTTTACAATACAATATTATATAAATATTATATATAATTACATATATAATTTATATATAATTATTACATAAAATTATTATATAATTTTTATTATGTTATTATAATAATTATGTAATAAAATTATATATAATATATATAATAATAATATATGTAATTTTTATAGTATTAAGATATAATTATAATTCTATTCAATAAATTCAAACAATTTACTGCATGATAATACTTAATAACTTTTTTTAACATTTTGAGAATTATTTATTATTATTATATATATTATTTATATATATATATTATTAATTTATTATTATTTATATATATATATATTATTTTAAAAGCAAAATGTAGAATGTAGAATTTTATTATTATACTATGTTTTATTATACTATAAAAGTATAGTATCAAAATGTTAAAAATGAATTTTAACATAAGTATTTAAAATATTTCTATGATATTTATAATGCCATACGTCTTTAAAACAAAAACGTTTGTAATCTGAGATATAAAGAATATTATTTTAAAATATTGAAATCCATGAATTTAAGAAAATAATATTATATAATATTATATATATATATATAATTATATATTTAAAAAATAATAATTATTATTAAAAATATTTACCTATATCTATTACTTTTAGAAGATGGACTTGTTGAATTTCGTCTTCGATCTCTATAATGGCTTGGAGATTCTGGAGTTGTGCTTCGCTTTTTTTCTCTTCGTCGTTCATCGTCACGTTCTTCACTTTTTACATCTTTCATTTCTCTTTCACTCTAATAAAAATAGCTTATGATATAATTTTTTCAGATTTTAAAATTATTATAATAAAAAAATTTTACCTTTCTTATGAGTTTTTTTCTATAATGTTCTACTTGTCCTTGAATTGTCATACCAGATTTTAATGTTCTTCTACCACTTTCTAATTCATCTTGATATTGCATTATTTTAACTTCAATTTCACGTAGTCGACTTCGTCTTTCTTCATTATAATCCCTACCACTATCAAATTAAAAAATATTGTAATTAATAATTATTTTTATCAATTTTTATTAAGATTTCAAATTAAAAAGTGAAATATAAAGAAATATATAAAGATTTTATATATTTGATTTAATTAACATGTTTATGTTGAAAAAATAAATATATGAATATTTATATATATTACCTAGAATCCATACTAGTATCTTGAGAATTCGAATCATCATTTTGACCTAATTCTTCCCATTTGCTAGTCGTCATAGCTTGTGCTTCAACCTAATATAACAAAATAAACTATTTTATAAAACAAAGAAAAATACAAAAGTCATATAATATTGTTAAAGAAATTAATTTATTCTTGTTTAGAACTATTAAAATTTATATATTTTTTTATTGTCATTGATAACTATAACTTGAATCCAATGCATTCTTAAAGATTGCAATTTTTTTCTTGTAAATTAATTATCTTAACCTGATCAGGATCAACAGTTTCCCAACGAGATGGTACAAATCCTGCAGGAATTGATGGTTTTTTATCATCTTCTTTACTTTGTACATTTGAAGAATCATCTTCATCCATAGGAACACCATCAATATCTTCATCCACTGAAAATAATAAAATATATAATATATAATATTATAAAAAAATAATAAATATATAAAAATATATATAAATATAGAGTATCATGTTGGATTTAACAAATTAATATGCTATTTAATAGATTGTATAAAATGATTAAAAATAAATATATAAAATATATATATTTAAATATATATATTCTTACTAGGTACACCATCAATGTCATCGTAATTAGTTGTTTGTGGTGTCAAACCATGTTTCATAGCACCTTTAAGAAGAGCGGCACCATCTAATGGTACTCCATCTAAATCTTCCGTACCATCTCCATCTACATCTGATAAAGGCGCTCCATCAATATCTTCATCATTTTCAGGTTCTGGTTCATCTACCTATAAAAATAAAATTACTTTTTATTATTATCTTTTATTTTTATTTTTTTTTGTCTTTTATAAAAGGATTAAATTTACTAAAACAAGCCCGAGGAAAGTGTTCTGTAATTTAACAAGAAAATCTCGTGGATAAACTGCCCAATCTTCCCATGCTCTAAACATTCTCATTACACGAACTTTAAATCCTTCTGCTTTTAATCTACTATCAAATTGTTTATAAGCTTGATGAACTTCATT